ACGTCTGTTGTCACTCAGAGCAACTCACGTCCCGGGAGTGCTGAATCACGGAGCGGACACGCTCTCCAGAGGTGTCCCACTGGCGAGAGAATGGCACCTTCACCCGGAGGTGGTGCAACAGATTTGGGATCGCTTCGGCACGGCCGACGTAGATCTGTTCGCCTCCAGGGAAAACGTGCACTGTCCTATGTTTTTCTCCATACGGGACGCGAGCACGCCTCTCGGAGCAGACGCGCTGGCGCACAGCTGGCCAGCAAAGCGCCTTTACGCGATTCCACCGGTGGCGCTAATACAGCCCACTCTGGACCGCGTGCACAAAAAGGCTCTCATTCTGATCTTAGTAGCTCCCAGATGGACCAAGAAAGTCTGGTTTGCAGAAATAATGTCACTACTGGAAGGAGAACCACGGCACCTTGATGTGCGCAAAGATCTCTTAACTCAGGCTCACGGCCAAATTTGGCATCCCCACCCAGAAATCTGGAACTGTGGGTCTGGCCCCTGAGAGGGAGAAATTAATAGCCTCTGGTCATCCTAGTAATGTGGTGGACACTATCCAGTGTGCTAGAGTAGGCTCCACACAGACCTTATACACACTTAAATGGCGTATTTTCGATGTCTGGTGTCAGGAGAGAAACATTGTTTCATTCCTCAGCACCATAACAGATGTTCTCACATTCTTACAGGACTTGTTAGAGAAAGGTCGCTCTTTTTCTACAATCAAAGTCTATTTATCTGCTATTTCTGCTTGTCATAATGGATGGGAAGGAAAATCACCTGGCTCCCATCCTCTCGTGGTTCAGTTCATGAAAGGAGCGCTGCGTAAAAGGCCACCGCGCAGAACACTGGCACCACAGTGGGACCTGTTGCTAGTTTTAGATGCGCTGTGAGATTCACCTTTCGAACCCTTGGAGCAGATCAATATGAACATGTTGTCCTATAAAACAGCTCTTCTTCTGGCTCTGTGCTCAGCAAAACGTGTGAGTGACATCCACGCACTTTCGGTTCACCATTTGTGTACCCAATTTGCATATGATGGTTCCAAGGTGACGTTTCGCCCCAACCCGGCCTACGTCCCTAAAGTGCCATCTTTATCATATAAGAGCCTTTCTTTTGAACTGTCGGCTTTCCCACCGCCGCCTGTGTTAACTGCAGAGCAGAGGCGCATGAACGCTCTCTGCCCGGTGCGCGCGCTGCGCGTTTATATTGAACGGACAAAAAGCTGGCACAAAACTGATCAGCTGTTTGTGTGTTTTGCTAACCCCGTGGCAGGAAAAGCTCTGTCTAAACAACGTCTCTCTCACTGGGTTGTAGAGGCTATTTCTCGAGCCTATATCAGTAAGGGTAAACATGCACCCAGCAGCGTGCATGCGCACTCAACCAGAGGTATGGCCACTTCAAGGGCACTATTTAAAGGAATCCCAGTGGCAGACATATGCTCGGCCGCCAACTGGGCATCTCCTCATACATTCATAAAATTCTACAGTTTGGACATAACAACTCGTGACGTCACCCAGGCTGTCCTTTCAGCACAGGAGAGATGAGCATCCTCCCAGTTGTCAGGAATTTGTTGTCAAAGTTTTTTTTTCTGCATTTGCATTTTCGGGGCATGATGGTAGGTCCCCATACTACTGTGTTGTACCGAGTGTACCGACCGAAAGGGAACTGGAGGTTATGAATATAACCAATGTTCCCTGAGGGAGGGAAACGAGGTACAACACAAGTGAGCCCCTCTATGTTCCAGGAGCTCGGTAAAGTGCATGCAGATTAGGGAAATGAGACCATGCTGCATATTTATAGGCCAGGAGGGCGGGGCCTCCTGTATATGCAGCAGTCTCATTTGCCTTGACAGGCGTGTTGAAAGAAACTTCTTCAGGTTGGTCTCGCGAGGGCGCAATCCCCATACTACTGTGTTGTACCTCGTTTCCCTCCCTCAGGGAACATTGGTTATATTCATAAGCTCCAGATTTTTGCAGTTTTCAGCTATTTTATCTATTATGTCCTTGACATAATGACAATAAAGAAATGACAATAACTAATAATGAAATGACAATAAAGAGACTCTGACTCTGACAGTGTTAGAGAGCAGGACAGTTTTCATTTTATCCACTGCATGAGCCCGGTCACACATCAACTCTACAATTTTCAGGCAGGTTTCAGAAGGTTTTTCCAATATCGTGCAGGTTTTTAGCCTTAGTGATTTAAAAGTAAACACTCAAAAGATGCTTCTGTGGCTCTGTGCAAATCATCTACCTGCACTTTCAAAGGCTTTCTGATGTCAACTACTTGTTCCTGAAAGTATACCTGACTTTCACATCACCAATAGTAATGTCTGTTCTAAACTAGGGAAAATGTTGTCAGAAAAATGACTCCTCTGTGTTTTTACACATTTAAACATTCACACCTGCATGTGCTTATGTTTATGTTATATATTTAATAAAACCTGAGCTTATCCAAGAGCAACGATAACTCCCTGCTTCCTATTAAGCAGCCACGCTGTCAACTGACAGCTGGACGCTGAGTAATGACTTCATAACAAAGCGCTCTTAAAGTGACAGTACAGAATTTAGTTTTTAACATAATATGTTATTAAAAACTCTTCAGACATAACCAAAATGAAGGTTCTTCAGTGTTCCTCAGGATTTGATGAAATTTCAAACATCCATCCATCCATCCATCCATTATCTTTTACCCACTTCTTCCATTTTGGGTCACGGGGGTCGCCGGTGCCCATGTCCAGCAATCACTGTGCGAGGGGAGGGGGACACCCTGGACAGGTCTCCAGTCCATCACAGGGGGGACACATAGAGACAAACGAGACAAACAACCATTCACTCTCTCACTCACCTAGGGACAATTTAGAGTTACCAATCAGCCTAACATGCATGTTTTTGGTCTGTGGGAGGAAACCGGAGTACCTGGAGAAAACCCACGCATGCACGGAGAGAACATGCAAACTCCACCCAGAAAGGCCCCCGGACCGGGATTTGAACCGGGGACCTGCTCGCTGAGAAGCAGCAGCTCTACCAGTTGCTCCACCGTGCTGCCCAAATTTCAAACATTACAATTTAAAATAAAAGCATATTTTCTAAAGTTGTTACACAGACAATAAAATTACATTTTTACAACCTCGAAGCAGACATATTATGCGACCCCCATGTGCTCTCTAGCGCCCCCCCCCCCCCCCATGGGGGTTGGGCCCCCCAGGTTGAGAACCACTGTCTTACAAGATTATGGAAAGATTTTGGCCCACTCTTTTTTAATACACTGCTTTAGTTCACTGAGGTTTGCAGACATTTGTTTCTGCATAGCTCTATAAGGTTCCACCACAAAATTACAGACTGAGGTTATGGACTTTGGGCTGGACCATTACAATGCCTTGATTTCTCGTTTTGAGATGTTTTGTTGTAGGAATGAGGTTTTTGTTCTGATCAACTGTGTTTGTTTTCGTCAAATACATAATGGCTAAACATCTCACTTTTGGTCTTATCTGTCCAAATAACATTGTTCCAGAAGTTTTTGTGGTTCTTTCAGATGACACTTTGCAAACCTTAGTCATGTTGCCATGTTTGTTTAAGATAGAAGAGGCTGACATGGCAGATCCAGTGTGTTTGTACACCTGACGTAAAATTGGAAGAATTTTAGAACCTGGAAAAGCCAGGGGCCTCATGTACTTATAAAAGGTGCGTATGCACAAAAAGTTGCGTACACCATGTTCCACTCACTCATTGGGATGCATCAAAACAAATGTTGCATGAAAGTGTGCACAGACTTTTGACGTTGTAAAAATGTGCGTACCGCAGTGGCAGCTGTGGTGCTGCTGTGAAGGCCATCAGCAAAAGTAGAATTGGGAGGGAGAGTATTTTTGCATTTATGAGGACACACAATGAAGCCTGGTATATTACCTTATTTAAAGTGCCAGGACTAATTTGGTTAGGAAATCTGTGCTGAACTGGCCCAAGTATTACAGAGGGAAACTTGGAGAAATGGTGTCGGTGCTGCTTCAAGTCCAGCATGCTGAGGTAAATTACAACCGGAAACTTTCAGAGGGAGCCCGACAGGTCAGGAATTTCAGTTGTCCCTGAGTTCTGCCATGCCAGCAGTATGGGACAGCCTCATCCACATGATGCTCAGATATATCAAATTCTCCTACATTGAGGCTGAAACACTCCACTGACGTGCAGTAACTTGCTTCTTGGCATCAACTGGCAGCCTCACAGGAAGAAGGTCTTGCGTTCAGTCCCTGGTTGGACCTGGGGTCTTTCTGTGTGGAGTTTGCATGTTCTTCTCATGCTTGCTTGGGTTTTCTCTGGGTACTCCGGTTTCCTCCCACAGAACAAAAACATGCATGTTAGTCTGCCTTCAGGTCCAGGCCTCCCTTGCAAAAGAGATCTGTGATCTCAGTTGGGTTTGCCTGGTTAAATAAAAGTTATTAAATAAATACATGTTTAATAAATAAGCGTCTAAGTTCTACCAAGCTCCTGAGTGCCTCTGTGTTAACAGTAATTCTTTTATAGATCCAATTTCACCAGTGTATGGGATCACAATGATGACAATACATAACACATTATTATTATTATTATATTTTTATATTAAAATGGAGGTGTATAATGTGTGGTTAGTTCCACGTTCATTGGAATTTATATTCTTTCATGATAATTATAATTTAGTTTTTTTATGTAAGCACTTTTCATATTTTGTTCCTACGCCAACTTTCAGTCCGAAAACTGTACACTCTTTAAAACATGAGGCCCCTGATCTATTTCAAAATGTCGCAGTGTGTAAAACACTGAAAAAGGGTGTCCAGAGGATCGTCCAGAGGACTTTACTCAACCTTGACTGATTAACCTGAATTACTGAGTATGAATCAGGACTGGAAAAGGGTGATTATCCCCCATGGCTGTAGATACTGTAATACTAACTTGCAATGAGTTACTTTGTGAGTTCTCCTAGTTCCAGATTAAAGACACAAAAAGAAAATAAATGGCAGATGCCAATCGTACAGTTTCTGTGTTGGCTGCTCATCTGGTCGCAGAAGACCCAGCTCGTTGACCTCGTAGGTTTTGTCGAGATGTGCCGACCTGATCTTGTCCCCTTTATTGACCCAACCTCCAAACACAGCAATGTTGGCCACCACTCCTCTGTAGTGGTCAAAATTGGAGTCAAAAACTAAGGCTTTAAATGGGTCATTGATGCTCCCCACAGGCCTGCAGGAAACAAAACACATCTTTTAAACATCAGTTGTAATAAAAAATAAATACTATTTTTAAAAATAAACACTCTACATGAGAATTTAACAATGTGAGCAATCTTACGGAGGAACTCTGTCTATAACTGCTTGAAGAACCTTTTCAACATTCGTTCCCAGTTTTGCTGAAATCTTAAAAATTAAAATTAAAACTTTTTTGGGGAAGTGTCTTACACTGACCTAAAAAGAAGCTTGTTTGTGCCTCATCTTACCTTGATACACTCCTCTTTTGGAATATCAAACGCTTTTTCAATCTGTGACGCCACTCGCTCTGGATCAGCATTTTTCAAATCAATCTGCAGGAGAAATTTTAAAAATCACCTGCCTCATAAAGTAAAATGGTGGAATGTCCCATGGAATTGGTCCAACAGCAGAAAGTCTTCAAGTACCTTATTAATCACAGGTATTATTGTCAGCTGGGCTTCAAAAGCCAAGTAGAAATTAGCAACAGTTTGTGCTTGAATTCCCTTGGGAGGACAACAAAATATCAACAAAATTATTAACATGTAACAATTCTCAATATTTCACACACATAAAAAACAAACAATCATCACCTGGTTGGCATCAACAATCAACAGAGCACCCTGACAGGCAGAGAGCGAACGAGACACTTCATAACTGAAGTCAACATGACCCTGAGGAGAAGGAAAATAACTTCATGTGAACAGAGTTAACAAATGTGCATGAACACTTCTGTTAAATACCCCCCCCCCCCACACACACACACACAAAGGTATCTAAAATAACTTAAAACTGACAAAAGCAATACAAAAAACAAGAGTACTGTATACGTCACGATAAACCCAAAGACAAACTGTCATACATTAATCTATAGCTTTTGACATCATCCAGTCAGATTTGTTCCACCTCAAACTTGTCCTAAACGTCGACAAAACCAAAGGATGCTGTTTTCAAAGAGGAAGTTGGTCCCAGTGGTTCTTCCTCTGATTTTATCCTCGAATCATGTCCCAATTGATTTTGTCGACTTCTATAAATATTTGGGTATCTTGGTTGACTCACATCTCTCTTTTAAGCTCCATGTGGAAAATCTAGTAAAGAAACTGAAAGTTAAACTGGGTTTCTTTTTCAGAAACAGATCCTGTCTAACTCTGAATGTTAGGAAACACCTTGTATCTGTGACTTTCTTTCCCTCCATTGATTACAGTGACATTATTTACATGAATGCTCCTACAAGAACCTGCAGATGTTGGATGCAGCAGATGTTGGATGCTGCAGATGTTGGATGCTGTCTATCATGGTGCACTAAGATTCATAACTGGCTGTGATTATCGTACCCACCACTGCACCCAGTATTCACTGGTTTAACTGGACATCATTAACTTCACGTAGACTCTCCCACTGGTACATTTTCATGTTTAAATCACTTCTTGGTCTGCTGCCTTCATACATCTCCTCCTGTGTGAGTGCAGCTACGGCGTGCACTCTCAGGACATTATTACCTGCAGTGTTCCCTCAGTGAGGACTGAACTAGACAAAAGGACCTTCTCCTACTCCGCTCCTGTTTCCTGGAATATCTTGTAAAAAGATCTGAAGCTCTCGACCTTTGACCTTTCTAAGTGGCTTTAAGAATCTGTTGAGTTCCTTCCTGGGAAAAACCACTGCAGACATGATCCTGTTTTTAGTTTTCTACACCACCCTACAATCTAGCTGGTTTTTTTTGTTACTTTTCCTTTTAAATACCATTTTATTTTCACTTGTTAAAAAAAATTCTCAATTTGTATGCATCCTTTATGATTGCCTATTATTGTCTTAGTTGTTGACTGTTGTCATCGCTCTTTGTTAAAACCAGGTCTCTCTTGTAAATGAGTCCCCGAGGCTCAGTGGAATTAACATGTCTAAATAAAGGTTGCACAAAAAATAGCAGTGGCTGGACAAGCAAAGACCTTATATAACCTTTGACCTTGATTTGTGACCTTAAACTCAAAGTTGAGGTGATGCAATGATTATAACATAAAGTCTAGTGGTGGTACAAATGTGTGCTATATTTTGGTAAATGATCTTGACCAGATCTGAAGTTATGGGTGGGAGAAGCAAATAACTTGTTTTAACATTGACCTTGATATATGACCTTGAACTTGAAGCTGAAATGATGAAATGTACATAAGCAACACTCCGTCTAGTGATGATGCATATGTGTATGAAGTTTCATTAAATTAGCTTAAGTGCATCAGAAGTTACAGGCTGGACAAGAGAAAGATAATGGATGAGTAGAGATTTTTTGATGGAGGGGCGGCTGTGGCTGAGTGGTTGGAGCAGTCGTCCTCCAGTGCGAGAGTTGGGGGTTCGAACCCACCAGCAGTCACATGCTGAAGTGTCCCTGGGCAAGACCCCTCGTAGCTTCTGATGTGTGTCCCATCAGTGTATGAATGTGATAAATCTCTGATTAGTCTCTTTAGAATGATTTGTTCAATTAGCTTTGTAGAGATCTAGTAGAGTGCTGTATGAATGGGTCAATGAGGACACAGATTGTAGTGTAAAGAGCTTTGAGTATCTTGAAATAAGATAGAAAGGTGCTATATAAGTACAGTCCATTTATAATAACACCTTCGACAGGTGTATGATTGAATTCATTATTATTTGAGTCAATCTCTGCAATCGAGTGATTTCTGTAACTCTCTCGGACTTCTGCACCTGTCCACAAATATTCTGGTCCACTCCTCATAAGCAAACTGCTCCATCTGTCTCTGGTTTGAACGGTTCCTTCTTTAGATTACGTGTTTCAGCTCCTGTCACTGATGTTCAACAGGAACAGAGCTCAGACGCTTACCGGTACTTCAGAATATTCTAATGTGTGTTTAGCCATTCTTGGGCATTATCCTGTTTGATGACACATGATCGACTTTGTCATCGTCTCATCTGATCTGCGGCCACATGTCTTGGACACTCGGGTGAAGAGAGGGGCGGAGCTGTCAACTGATCACTACCTGGTGGTGAGTTGGCTCCGATGGTGGGGGAGGATGCCGGTCAGACCTGGTAGCCCCAAACGTATTGTGAGGGTTTGCTGGGAACGTCTGGCAGAGTCTCCTGTGAGACGGAGTTTCAACTCCCACCTCCGGGAGAACTTTGAACATGTTCCAAGGGAGGTGGGGGACATTGAGTCTGAGTGGACCATGTTTCGTGCCTCTATTGTCGAGGCGGCTTACCAGAGCTGCGGCCGCAAGGTTGTCGGTGCCTGTCGCGGCGGCAACCCTCGAACCCGATGGTGGACACCGTCGGTGAGGGATGCTGTCAGGCTGAAGAAGGAGTCCTATCGGGCCTTTTTGGCCTGTGGGACCCCGGAAGCAGCTGATGGGTACCGGCAGTCCAAGCGACATGCGGCTCGGGTGGTTGCTGAGGCAAAAACTCGGGCATGGGAGGAGTTCGGAGAGGCCATGGAGAACGACTTCCGCACGGCTTCGAGACGTTTCTGGTCCACCATCCGGCGTCTCAGGGGGGGGAAGCGGTATGCCACCAACACTGTTTATAGTGGGAGTGGTGTGCTACTGACCTCAACTCGGGATGTTGTGGGTCGGTGGGCGGAATACTTTGAAGACCTCCTCAATCCCACCGGCACGTCTTCCACTGAGGAAGCGGAGCCTGGGGACTCTGGGTCGGGCCCTCCAATCTCTGGTGCTGAGGTCACCGAGGTGGTTAAAAAGCTCCTCGGTGGCAGGGCCCCAGGGGTGGATGAGATCCGCCCAGAGTTCCTTAAGGCTCTGGATGTTGTAGGGTTGTGTTGGCTTACGCGACTCTGCAATGTTGCGTGGACATCGGGGGAAGTTCCCCTGGATTGGCAGACCGGGGTGGTGGTCCCCCTATTCAAAAAGGGGGACCGTAGAGTGTGTTCCAACTACAGGGGAATCACGCTCTTAAGCCTCCCTG